GACCCTTTTGACTTCAAGAAAAAAATTTTGCTTTTTCATGTATCAAAAACACAATATGCTAGAAACAGAGAAAAACTTTTTCAGAAAGAATGAGCAATATTTTAGGGTGTGTGTGTGGGTGTCGTTGTGGGTGTGGTATCGGTGTATGTGGGTGTGGGTCTTTCCTTAATCTACAACCTAGTCGCACACCCACCACACCAACACACATTCACGCCCACACCCACACACCAACCCACACCCACACACCAACCCACACCCACCCTTTCAGGTTTGACACTACTGCAAAGACGAAGAAATAGTATGGAATTATCATGTGAATATGAATATATGAATGAAGATTTAGTTGATCATAAACTAAAAACGTTCAATCTATCATCATCCATTTGTTTTTCTTGAGTAAAATTTATTTTACAGACTAGTTTTTCTTATTACAGATAAAGGTTATATAAACAAATATTTACAAATAACAGATAAAGATCATTAGCAAGATTTAATAGAATAGACAAATAATTCTATATAATACCAATTCAAATCATGAAAGTTATACAAAAAAAAAGAAAGGAACGGAATGTCTTTATAGACTTAATTAACAATAACTGATGAACACATTAAATCGACTTGACATGTTCCATCACTACGATATAAACGATAATAATCCTATAAATAAAAATGATTTATTTAAATAATATTTTTTTCTTTAATTATACCTTTTTATTCCAATGTGGAGCCCAACTATTTTTTATAATTCAGTATAGAATTAATTTTCAATCTTAATTCACATATAACAACATATTTTGAAATAAAAAACAAAAGGTAATCTGATGTTTTTGTTCCATACCATAAATAACAGCTAAAACTTCATGGTTAAGTCGTTCTCGATCACAGAAAATACAATGAGGATGAGCAACATCATGGAAATAAAACTCTTATTAAAAAGAAATTTTTACAAACAATAATCGATAACCTACTTACATCATATTTATATTCAATTCAATTGAAATTGGTGCATTGATTACAAACCATTCAGTCATTTCTTAATAAAAAAAAAGAACAAAATTAATTATCTCATTAAAATAAATTATTCTTTTATACCATTTTTATCCTATGTTATATATTAATATCCATCATTATTAACATTACGTTTTGTTTTA